GCTTCATTTCCACTAAAAACTAATCCATCTCAATCTGAGAATTACAGTTTGTTTTTTAAATCTCAGGTCGTGAGTCTCAAATGAGTACAGACTCTGATTTCTCTCTGTTCAATCCGTGTATCTAGTTTAAGGATGAGTATTCACATCTTGAACAAATCAGCAATGTCTTTGAGGTGTTTCTGTAACTTTAACCTTAGTATGTTCAATAATAAATATAATCATGTGAGTTACTGAGGTTCCAGTGATTAAACAGTCTGTGGTTAAATCTCAAGTTCTGGGGGCAGCAATAATTTTTCTCTAAAAATTAGATGTGGAAGAGCTGAATTCCAAAGCTAGTTAAGGTTTGTCAACATTAAAATTTTAGGAGATACAGTTTCAAAAATCCCAGTGTTTCCTCAAGTTTAAGAATATAATTACTGAAAACCATTACTATTCTCAGAATTTGTCATAATATAAAGGGCATCTATGCTTGTGTTTTGAGCAACAGATTTTCTTAATGACATCTTTGATTAAAGGAATATGAACAAATTGTTTCATAAGTGTGCACCCAGCAGTGAACTTTACATAAATCCTTGTATTAAAGTAGAAAAAATAACTCGAGATGTTTTCAGCACATTTTAAAATCATTAAAATGAAACTATGACAGGAGATAAAGAGTTAAGTGGTTTTCCTTACTCTGCTAAAAGGATGCTCTATTCTTCGGAGGTATAACAGTGATCATCTTCAAAAATTCTTTACTACTTTGAGGAGATGTGATATTCAAGACCAATAGATGGCTGTTATGTCAATATAAATAACTCCCAAATAACCTTAGGAACTAGGAATTATTTTTACTTTTGTTAGAAAATTTCTATTAGTTGGCTAGTTGGTTTGTAAGCATTATATAGATGGAAGAAAAGCAAGCTTTAAATGTGTGCTAGAGGGAGCAGAGTCCCTGAGAAAACAGAAAGTGTACCCAAGAGAAATCACTAAATATTTCTAGTCTATTAAGATAAGGTTATCTGCATAAAAACACAATATTCATTCTACTCAATGTAAAAAAAAAAATAATTGTAAATATCTGTTTGGATCATGGTGGGTTAATAATATTCAGAGTTATGTAAGTCCCTCAGGAAAAACAATCTTAGCTTAAAGGGAATATAATTTATTATTCCCTGAAGAGTTTTTTTCCTTGTTTTTCCTTACTATTCCTACTAGAACTCAAATAGGCTCCTCCCTACAAAACTTAATTTGATGACAAACAAGCTCCTAAGAATGAAACAAAAGCTGATTGCAAACTATATATAACTTTGACATTAAATAGAGTAAGGAAGCTCTGATCTCTTAGAAAACGGGTGTAAAACTAATGCATAATCTTTACATGTCAAATAGACTCTTAAGTGTTCTCATAGACATTTTTCAGATATCCATGAAAAGTCTTGATTCTGTGTGTGTCAGACATACCAAAGACTGAAAACTGTCGCTTCATGTGTTTTTATTACCACTGAAGATAATCAGAAAAATCATCATAACTCTTATTTTAAAAATGATAAAGGAGTATATTCAGAGGTTTGTTCTAGATCATCTGACAAGCCAGAAGCAGAATGTCAGGCTGTGATACAAAATTCTCTCTCAGGATACTCTACTACCTTCTGCTGAGTGGAGTTTTTTTCTTTCTTTTTTTTTTTTTTCCGGTACCGGGAATTGAACTCATGACCTTGTGCTTGCCAGGCAGGTGCTGTGCCACTGAGCTAAATGCCCAGCCCCTAGAGGGAGTGAAGTTCTTTTATGTCTGCTTAGTAGCCTCCAAATTCACCACCAGGTAGTTTAAAATGACCCCAATTTTTTGGCTTTTTCATGAAATTTTATTAGTTAAAATGTCTTAAAACAATAAAATGGTTAGGACCAATGTTTAGTAAGGATCATAAGCAGTTACAATATAATAACTGAAAGCAATCATCACACATAAATACAGAAGTACGCAGCCAAAGCGCAGATGGATGAAGATGTCTGCTATTATCTAAGTGCCATCTACCACTCTATTCCCCTTGGGTTTAACACCTTTAAGCCTGTCTCAGAAGAACAAGCCCCTCTACCTCTCTATTCCTCCATTCCATATAACAACTGGCTTTGGTACTAATCTCAAGATCCTGAAAAGGGCTAGTCTGGATAAAGAACAAGCTACTCTTTCTATTCTCCAGGAGGAGATTCAGGATTTGATCAGCAGCATCCAGTCAGTGGGCTAAGTTAGTTCACACTTCTTCCTCGAATAGAATGTTTAGATTAGTATCAATGTCTTAGTGTTAGCTAAGTTGCATAAGACAAAAGTAGGTTGGTTCATTAAACCTGCTCAGGAACAAACCCCGTACAATGGCTTTCTACCCTAAATGGTTGTTTAACATCACAACTTATGAACATTCTACTCTCTCCTAAAAACAACAACTCCCAGTTCTTATTCCTAAGTATTTTTTCCTAAATTTAACTCTTATCACTACTAACTATTTGTAATTCTGTTCCACATGGCAAACATTAATTGATGAAATAGTCTCTTTGGAGTAGGATTACATCTTAACAGTTCTTGAACACATATAATCACACAATCAAAACAAGCACTGAAGTATGTCTAATCTCAAGGTGCCATTACAGTGCAATCCTTCCAGGAATCCTGTTATATAAGAGGCTAGCCAGATCCACATACTATGAGGTTGTAGCATCTTCCTGCTTTGACTCCTAAGGGTTGTATTGGCAGGTGTTTTACAGACTTGTTCAAGTCTTGTTTCCAGGTCTGGAGTAGTGTTACAGATTCTTCTTGTTGTTACTTTAATAGCCTGCTTGTTGCTTCAGTTTTCTTCCAATACCCGAAGAGTTTTAACAAGCCCAGTAAAATTCACATTCTAGAGTTCTACTTGAACAAAGAGACACTCTTCAGCATCTATCATGTTCAAGGAACAGAACACTCTGAAGTTCTTTTCAGGCAGACAGTTACCCTTCAGTATCTATCCTGTTTGAGGAACAGCACCTTCTAGATTTCTACTTGGACAGATAGCTATCCTTCAGTATCTACTGTGATTGAAGAACTGTATGTCTTTTTTCCAGCTAAACTGCTCATCAAATAGAACTTACCATAGACTACTGGTCTCTCTTTGGATGTGTTTTCTGATCTTCTCCAGGTTTTTATGCTTTAAGTTTTATTTTTCCACAAATTATAGCCCAATTTCTTAAAGCCCAAATTCCTTATGGGAAGTGTCTATCTTCTCTGGTTGTCATAAACTTTAATTAAAGCATAGAGTCTATCTTTTTAACTTTTATCAGGTCCTTTGTTACTATAAGTACTAAATGTAAGAATACTAAATTATCACTAAGTATATAGATTTCCTTGTTTAACTGCTATCCGTGATATCTGCAAATTGTTCCTGTTGGGATGGAGAGATAAGCTGATTCTTCCTGGTTTCTCACTATTCTATTTAGGTTACTTTGGCACAATCCTTTTGCAGTGCCAAAATTATATGCCATTTGGAACATAGCTGTGTATCTATAGACTCCCTTCAACTGGCAAAGTAAGGTTCGGTTTGTTCAGTTACTGTAGCAGCAAAGTTTCACAATCTGCTTCCCAATGTGGCCTGTTAATTACCCACAGTCATTGTTTGAAGAGATAATTTTATTTTCCCTATTATTGCCTTTGTCTGCCCATCCAAGACTCCTGGATCCTCCTGTGCTCTTATCATTCTATCCACACAGCTAGAAATCTTTCACACTAATATGTTAAACAGTGCTATACATTCTAATTTTTAAAAGGACCTATGGTAGCTTTTCTGAATGTAACTATCACTTTATTAAATTGGTTAAATCACTTTATCCTGAAAGTCAGCAGTTAAACTGACTCACGTTTCTCCTACTATTGGCCATTCAAGTAAGACCTGGCTACATACTCTAGTTCCCCATATTTATCTTTAAAGGTAGCTCATTGTCTATGTATATAGACCTCACTCAATATTAGATGCAACCTGTGTCATCTATATTAAATGCCGTTGTGATTCTTTTGACTGTAATATGCTTTGGGACTCTGTGTAAGTGTGGTCTGGTTCCCACCAGTGTGGTCTGGTTCCCAGCAGTGTGGACTGCCTTCTACATATCACTTCCTCATACTCTGCATACACCACATTGCTGATGGTATACCTTTACGTATTTACCTAGGTTGTTGGCTATGTCATGAGATGCAAAGGCCAGTCTCTAAGAAGGCAGGCCATAATGTCCATGTGTCTTGTCTGAAGGATAGCTAAATTTCCTTCACATTTGTTCCTTCTCCATTTTGATGTGACAGTGCTCCAACTACTGAATTTTCCCCTTCTGGTATATGGAGAATTATGGCTAAATAACAGTCCATTTTTTGTTTATGTTCATTACTGATCCTACTTTTCAGTAAAAAAAAAAAAATGTATTGCTATGTTGAAGGTATAGCAGGTCCACTGTGGCAAGGCTACCAACTATTCATTCTAAATTCAGCTCCATGCAAGAAGATGCACTAGGGGCTGGGGATTTAGCTCAGCGGCAAAGCGCCTGCCTGGCAAGTGCAAGGT